AGTCCTGAGCTGCCTGTGCCCCAACCTATGAAAACAGTTGTTTCGTATATTTTGTCCAGTTTTCTAGTGGTTTACAGTGGATGGTAAATCCAGTCCCAGTGTGAGAGAGCTGCCTAATATTATTTTTTAAATAGCGGATTATCCAGAGGAGATCTTTCAAACCCACTGTGATTAAGTCAACCCTCGTCTCTAAGCTACATGCTCAGAAATCAAACAGTCAGCTAGTCCCTGGGGGGACTCTAACCCACACACGTGGCAATAACACACAGTGACTCTCTCATTAGAAATGTTCCTGTCATTATTCCTCCCTCAGCATCCTCCTGACAAAGCTTCCATTTCTGTCTAGCGCACCTGCCGTAACTAGACAACGGCTTTGGGGACAGCACTGAAAAAGTCCCCGTTAAACTGGGTGCGGTGACAGACAGAGATCAGAGCAGAAAGTAAATTCTGGGGTTTTATTCTTTATTTTCCAGAAACGGGACATCCCCCCTGGAAGAACTGTGTCTGGGGCCGTGTGTGTGTCGGGGGGTTGGGGGGGAGGTACGCCCACGTGGGAAGGCTGCCTGCTGGCCTCTCTGCTAAGCCCCCCGAGGTGCAGGCAGAGAGGGGTGCCAGATGTGATCCTGCTGCTGAGGGTTGGCACCTCAGTCATTTCAGTGCATGCCTGCTCTGTGCCAGGCACCCGGGACCCACATGGCGCTCACACCAGGCAGCTCCAGCGACACACTGCTAGAGGAGTGTGGGGGCCCGGGAGGGTGTCCTCTCACAGTACAACTGGGGGACAGGAGGGAGGGGAGGAGCCACTCTCACGGGCGGGAGAGACTCTGGAGAGGCACCTCCTGTTGCCCTGCAGTGTCTCTAGGTGCTGAGCCCTGTAGGGTCTCTGCTAATGCATGTCCAGGTCACCAGTGCCAGCCCAGGGCCTGGCCACGTGTAGGCACTTAGAAAAGACTGGTCGAATGAATGAATGAATGAATGAATGAATGAACAAACTAGAACAGGCTATGACGCTCCTCTCAGCCAGGCTGAGGAGCTTGGAAGCCATGGGGATGGTGTGGAGGAGTGACAGGGAGAGAGGAGGCAAGGACCCCAGTCAGGCAAATCTCGAGGCCTGAGCTTAGGCAGCAGCTGGGTGGATTCTGGAAAGGCAGGGACCTTGGAAGACGCCCGTGCTCGGGGCTCATGCGCCTGGCGGATTGGTGGACCTGTGCCGCCCACAGATTGGGGACACGGGGAGTGAGGCAGAGTGTGCAGGTGGGACGTGCCCAGACAGCTGTCGAGCGTTGGTGGGTGTGCATGGAGGCGCTGAAGTGTGGGCACCCCAGGCTCCAAAGTGAGACATGAAATGTGTGTAGGATGCAGACAAGGGGGCCCAGGAAGGGACAGGGAGACAGCACCTTCCTAGAAGCCAAAGGATGCCACGTGCCGGCAGCCTCGGAACCCACTGGCCACTGTGTCCCCAGGAAAGAGGGCTCCGTCCCAGGCTGCGGGCAAGGGTCTGGGCTGGATGAGGGTGTGCCCTCAGCGTGCGGCCACACGGGGTCCGCTTGCCACCCCTTGGCTGGGCCCCACCTGCCCTCGCTAGCTGTGACCCAGTGGGAGGAAGGGAGGGAGCCGGTGGGGAGGGGAGGAGAGAGAGGGAGGGAAGAAGGGAGAAGGAGGGGGAGAGAGGGGGAGGGGGGAGGCAGGAGGGGGGGCGCGGGGCGCTTGGCAGCCTACTCACCGGCACACGGCACACACGAAGCAGTCAGGGTGGTAGGTCTTGCCCAGTGCCGACACCACCTCGCCCTCGATGAACTGGTCACAGCTGAAGCAGCGGGTCCCGTACAGCCGCTGGTAGTCCTGCGTGCAGATGTACTCGCCCTGGCGCACGAAGAAGCCGCCCTCGGCCAGGTCGCAGCCACATGCTGGGGGACAGCGTGTGTGGCCAGTGTTAGCGGGTGGAGACCATCTCCCCGGAGCCACCACACACAGCCCTCCCCTGACACAGGCTCAGGGTGGTTCACTGAAAACCTCGGGGGGCCAGGTCCAGGCACAGACTCCAGCTCCGGCCCCTCAGCCTGGAGCTGAGTGGCCTTCCTTGTGGAAGCTTCCCCAAGGGGCACTGACCCGAGAGGAGAACCAGGCTGTACTCAGGGGCCACCGGCCTCCCTCTGGCCCTCCCTCGCCTCCTGGACCCCACCAGGGTGCAGCGTGGATGCCCCGAAGCCTTCTGCAACTGCAGGAGGGCTGTCCCCAGCACGGAATAGATCAGAAAGGCACCTGCTATGCTCTGGGCTCTGTTCTGTGTGGGAAGGTCCCATGTGGCAAAGGACAGGTGAATCCCTNTGTGTGTTCCTTCCTCTCGGTGAGCACCGTCGAGTGGAAATACTGGGTCATATGCTTGTGGCAAACTGGTTTCCACAGAGACTGTACTGCTTGTGTTTCCACTGGCAACACACACAAGTTCCCTTTGCTTCACATCCTCACCAACGCATGACATTATCCATCCTTTCAGTTGGTCATTCTGTGGACGTATAATGGCATTTCATCATGGTGTTCGTTTGCATTCCCCGATGACTAATTGTTAACATTATTTCATGTGTTATTGTCATTCATGCATATTCTTTTGTGCACTATCTGTTAAATGCTGTCGCTCATTTTTTTTTTAAGATTTTATTGGGGAGCTGGGAAAGGAGAACAGCCGAGTTGTTGTCCTTCAATCTTAGTTGTGGAGGGTGCAGCTAGCTCAGCTCCAAGTCCAGTCACCATTCGGCCGCCCGTTGGCAGCTCGTGGCCGCTCAGCTCAAGGTGCCGTGTTCAATCTTAGTTGTGGGTGGGCATAGTCCACCATCCCATGCGGGAGTCGAACTGGAAACCCTGTTGCTAAGAACGCATGCTCTATCCACTGAGCCATCCGGCCACCCGCTCATTTTTAATAGGGGTTTTCCCCTCTTATTATTGACTTGTAGACATTCTTTATACATTTTGGGTACCAGTCCTTCATCAGATACGTATTATCTATCAATCAATGGCTTGTTCTTGCATTTTCTAGATGTCTTTTGACATCATTTTCCTTCTGCTTGTGAAATTTCCTTTAACTTTGTCATCGTGCAGGTCTGGTGGCAACAAATTCTCTTAGCGTTTCTGTGTCTCCAAGTCTTCATTTCTCTGTGACAGCTTTATTGACACTGTTTTATTCACAGGCTCTATAACATTCACAAACCATTCAATGTCTACAATTCAGTGGTTTTTAGTGTATGCAGAGTTGTGCAAATAACTCCACAGTCAATCTGAGGACATTTTTTATTTCCCCAAAAGGAAGGTCATACGCTTCAGCAGTTTTGCCTTCATTTTTTTTTTTTT